AGAAGAATTATACTGTCTTTAAGATTAGGTTTAAATATTTACTCCAAATATTAGACAAATTTAATCTTCAATTTAGTAATTTTTGAATTAGACTCTCAAATGTATCTCTTGAAAGTTGTGTAGGTTTTGAATTAGTAGATTTCGAAGATAAAGTTAAATTTTAATATGATAAATTTTATTTTATTTTAATATTTTATTTTAAAAAAAATATTTATTTAAAATGTCAAATATACTAAAATATATATATGTAAAAAAAATAGTTTTTAAGTCCGTGAATCATGTGAGCTGAACCTAATGAGATGAACCTAACGAGTTGAACCGAATTGTTCGTGAACTTATAACGAGTCGAGTTTGAGCTTAAAAAAAAGTTCTTGTTGAACTCGAACTCGAACAATTCTTAACGAGTCGAGCCGAGCTGAGGTGAGTTCGACTCGACTCGACTCATTTCCAGCCCTAGTTGTAACCAATAGAGTATTCAACAAACTCTGAAGAGATTAATTATTATTAAAGAAAAAGATCAATATTAATAAGTATAAGAGGAGACATTTTAATAACTCTAATAATGGTCAATTGGTACTACGGGACAGATATCAATGGAGATATTTATATCATTACATAATATTATATATATTTTATATGTCAGGAAAAAGTTAGTAAGAAAAGGAATTGATGTGAAGCGTTAGAAAGCTATTTCAATACTCTATTTGATAATCAAGTAGAAACATGGGTATATGCGAGTTATGGATAGGATAGAGATGGAATTGATGTGAAGGTGAATAATATGATCCTTCTTCCACCATAAATCATGAATTAAGAATCCAATTGAGGTAGGATTTGAAGCATTTGAAAGATAATCTAATGTTTATTACCTGGTGATGAGAGACCATGAATTAAACGAGGATTATTTATAGAGAATAATAATGTGTATGTTTATGAATTATATGTTAATGTATGTTATATATTATTGTTTTGCTTATGTGATACATTTCATAATCTATGCTTAAATTATTATTGTATCTTGTAATTGTATTGGTTGTGTAATGACATGCCTAAAACACTATGAATATGAGTGACGAAACCTAGGAGATTAACTAGGTAAATGACTTTGTAAGATAACTTAGGAAATGAAATGGTTTAGATAGTGATGCTTGGACGTGATTGTACCACAGTGTGTACAACGAACGAGTAGTCACATGATTGTTGGATAATATGCTTTGTATGGAACATGTGTTGTTGTTATGTGATTAAGGTTAATGTGATCACCTTGTGATTGTCGAATACAATCAAGTTATGTTGTATTTAGTCACGTAGTCAGAAACAAACCCTTGATTGTACTGTCCCAAGTCATGATGCTTATTGTAATACCCTAATTTTTACCCCTAAGATCCCACATATCATTTGCATCTCATTCCACAAACAAGATCGCAAGCTTTTGTTCTTTTGCCTTTCTCTGCAGGTTTGTTCTTGAGAGATCACCAGACACCCTTGTTTTCTTGTTTGTTTGATATTTGTTTATGTTTATGTTTGCTAACCATTATTCAAAATCCAAAAAATGTTTGTGTTTCCTTTACTAACTTTTTTAGGAAGAATTTGGATCAAGGATATCAAATACCAGTCTTCCAGCTCGAATGAATTTCATCTGAATAAAGTCAAAGTTGATCTGCAAACAATTTAAAATCATCTGATCAAGAGTCTCCTAAAATTTGATTGACTTTTATTTAAGAGACTCGCAAGTTTATGTGTTTATTTCCATGTCTTCTCTGACAAGCAAAAAAATCGAGCCAGAGCCAAGAAAACACATCAAATAGGCATTTTTTCACAATTTTTGCCTGTGGTAATCGATTACCAGTATTAGGGTAATTGATTACCCTGTGCGCATTTTGTGAAAATTGGCCAAATTCAAATTCTAAATCATTTTTGGCACCAAATTCAAATGTTTCATCATGAGAATATTCTAGATCATTTCATTTTAATTCCCTTACCTCATCATAATTAATTCCCATCATACACCTTCAATAATCACCATTTGATCTTGATTTTCCCTCCAAATTCAAATTCCAAGCCTAATTTTGATTCTAAACCAAACTCCAATCCACCAAATTTTCCAAGCCTAAATCCTATAAATAGAGGCTTCATTTCTATCATTTCACAAGCTTTTGATAGCCAAATTCACCTTGTCAAATTCTTTCTTGACTCTCTATTTTTTCTCCAACTACCAAATTCACCAAAGCTCTTTCTTCCTTAAAACCCTAATTAATGGTTTTACAAATATTTCTTTATTCTAAGAAGACAAGTAAGCATAGTTGAACTCTAAAATCACTAATTAGACTAAGAGGTTCACGTTGAGTATAACAGATGTAAGGGGGTACTAATACCTTCCCCTCACGTAACCGACTCCCTAACCTAGATACGGTTGTGATGACCATTTTCCTTTCCTAATAGGTTTTTTTTTCGATATTTTCCTATTCCTTTATTAGAATAAATTAAAATTCGGCGGCGGCTCTGTTTGAACATGTTTTTCCGCGTCCTTCACGAGGATCGTATTTTTTGAGGTACGACAATATCTTCTTATCAGAGTCAGAATCATATTGACAACAGTCACACACTAGACATACATTATGTCATACACAATTGTTCTCTTAAATAACATGTGCAGTTATCATCAAAACTCAAAGGTCATATGTGAAACCAAATATTGTTCTTACAATTTTCAGCTGGCGTTCAACTTTCTTTCTGGACATGTGATCATTCTTTTCAACTAGAGGAACTTTAGACATTTTCTTCACAAGAAATACACAAGAAAATATAAAGTAGTATAACGAATAAAATATCTCCAAACAATGGTTTTTCTTGACCATACACGCACCCAAGTGTCGCTGCGCAAAAAATACAAAGTCGCCACCGAACTTTATTTACTCTAAAGGAAAGAGAAAATATCGATAAAATCCCATATGGTGAAGAAAATGGTCGTCGCATCCAAATTCAGATTCGGAATTCAATTATGCAAGGGGAAGTTATTAGCATCCCTCACATTTGTTGTACTCAACGGGAACCGCTTTGCTTTTTCTATGCGCAAATGAGTGTTATTATCTAAAGGTTACCTGTGAAAAGGGAAAAAAGAGTTTTAAATTAGTGTGCTCTCCAAGGGTTAGGGCACTCGTGCCTGCATATTCTCATATTGAAACGAGATATAAGAGCTCCGTAGTTCAGAGTAGAAAATAAATGTTTGTTGATTGATTTAAGTGGATGATATTAACGTTCGCGTTCTAGCAGTTAAGTGTTGCTTGTATTGCGGTATAACAGAAGTAACATGCCCTTTGTGAAAGGTTTTTGAAATATAACCTAAGGCGAAAAAGAGTTTGATGAGTTCATGTTGGTTTTAGATTAGATACGAAGGATTGTTTTGATGTGAATTGCGTTAAAGTCTATGAATGGAGACAAATACCTAGAACGATCGGGCCAAGCGTCCTGTGTTCAAAACATTCAAAATGAGGGTAGAAATAATCCATTCTCATTCCTTCTATACTACATAAGGTTCGTGGCGCACAATCCTAATCATATTTTAAAGTGTTTTGAATTTGTTTGCAAAATGGTTTGAAAGTGACTTAACATTGGATCAAGGGTTTGAAGATTGAAAATATGAATATGGTATGAGTGAAAAGGAAAAGATACTTGACGTTGACTCAAGCACTCGCGTTGCGTTTGATTGAGTTTGATTTAAAAAATACTTGACGTTGGATCAAGTGTGTTTTTATCTTTTGGAAGGTTGTTTTATTGTCTTGATTTTATCTTGATTATTAACATGCAAAGAAAAGTGGCAAAGAAAGTAAATCCTACGCTATTACATGTTCATGAGAGTGAGGGACATTTTACCTACCATGAGAGGATGGATCATAAACCAATACAACTTCATGGGGATTGGGTACACTTTACCCACAATGGGCGGATGGATCACAAACCACTCAAGAATTAAAGCCATACACCATACACTATACAAGCATACACCTTACAAGGCAAAAAAAAAAAGAACCATACAACTGTATAAAACAACAATAACCAAAAGGTGTGTAAAATACTAAAGAAATTAGCACACAATACTACCATATCGAACTGAGTAAAATGGAAATGGATATTCCTAAGGTTAACCATAAAATAACTACATAATTAAATGATTAATCAAGAACATAATGTGAACATGCATAATATTAAAATCCAATTAGCACTATCAACCCTAAACATTAATGATTAAAATCTAAATATCTTACTCAATGATCAATTTTTCGAAAAAGAATGAATTAAAAAAAGCTAAGTCATAATTTATCTATTTCCTAATAAATGATGGTAGAAAATGTGCAACAAAAAATATTATCACTAGATAAGATCAATAAGATGGATGTAATCAATAATTAAATTAAAAATAATAGAATAAAAATAAAATAAAAAACTAAGAAAAAAAATAATAGATGTGCAATGCTAGATTGGTGGTGTACCAAGCAAACACAACACAGGCTTGGCAGAAATGCCCAAAGACAAAGAACTAGTCAGGGAGGAGGAAAAATTTACTTCATACCCATACAATTATATCAATACCCCTACATTTTTTTAAAAATGGTAATTTTACCCTTGTTTATTTTTTTATTATTTTATTTTTTTACTTTTAACTATTCATGTCAGACATTCGGTAAGGACAATAAACGAAACCAAGATTTTCATAAGACTTCAATCAAGACTTCAGGTATGTTAACAATCGCTTCCGGAAGACATGGACAAAGAATTCTGGTTTATAACAAAACATATACCGGAAGACTAACCAAAAGAGTTCCAGTTTGTTACAAACCTATACCAGACTACTTTTTGGAAGTCATCCGATATGTTACTTCCCTTTTCCGGAAGATATTTTTGAAGATATCCGGTTAATTAAAATTACATACCAGAACTCTTTCCTAAAGTGATCCGGTTTTCTTTTTTCAATTTTTAAATTATTTTTTTATAGTGCATGTATGGAAATTCCTCCAAAAATATGTGTAGATACTTCTGATGTTTTTTCAACTACTAAAAAATTTGGTACACGAGAAGAGGTTATAATGTGGATTAAAGAGGTTGGAATCCAAAATAAAGTAACTATTATTATCACTCGTTCAGATACTGAAATAAGCAAGAGAGGAAGAAGTAACAAATTGATGTTTGGTTATGATAAAGGTGGGAAACACAAGGATATTGATAGTGGTACTCAAATTGAAACGAAAAAATGTGGATGTCCATTTAAAATTAGGTCGACTCCGGCGAAAGATGGGTCTGGATGGAAGGTTGATGTAAAATGCGAAGTTCATAACCATGGTTTACCTGATAGATTAGAAGGTCATTTCTTTGTTGGTAGGTTGACCATAGATCAGAAGCATCATGTTGTTGATTTGACAAAGAGACATGTTCCACCTAGAAACGTATTACTTTCCTTGAAAGAATGATATCCATAGAATTTCACTCGGATCTCGCAAATATATAAGCGTAAGAGTATGATAGAAAAAGAGATAAGAGGTCCTAGAAGTGAGATATAACATTTGTTTAAGCTTATTGAGGATGCAGGTTATGTTTATCGGACTAGAAAAAGAGATGACTTTGAAGTTATTAGAGATATACTTTGGGCCCATCCATATTCAGTTAAGTTGTTGAATATTTTTCCTATTGTGTTAGTTATGGACAACACCTACAAGACAAACAAATATAGACAACCTCTGTTTGAAATTATTGGCATGACATCAACCGAGTTGACTTTTGCTATCGCATTTGCGTATATAAAGTCTGAGCAGACTGAGACTTTTTTTTAGGATGTTAGATAAGCTTAAAGAATTGTTTGTGAAGAAATATTTGTGTCCACAAGTGATTGTGACAGATAGAGATCTTGCTTTGATGAAAGCAATTGAAACTGTGTTTCCAAGGTCAACCAATTTGCTATGTCGATTTCACATTAACAAAAATGTAGGTGCAAAATGTAAGCAATATATGGTTAGTGACATGCAAAAGACGATCGATGACTTATGGATGGAAGTTGTATGGGCTAGTGACGAGGTTGAGTATGATCAATGACTGCAACAACTTTAGAAGGCGTGTTTTGATTGTAATGAAAAATCTTGATTATGTGAAAGACACATGGTTGATACCATATAGACAGAAATTTGTTGGAGCATGGATTAATCGAGTGCTACATTTGGGTAATATCACGACTAATCGGTATGTATCTTTTTATTAATATTTTTATTATGTATTTATTTTTAGTATTTTTAAACTTATATTTTTAATTTGTATTTTTGTAAGTATTTTTACTATGTATTATTTTTAGGGTTGAGTCTGCTTATTGAAAGTTAAAGCTGATGTTAGAGAATAGTATAGGCGACATGGTCAAATGTTGGGAGGCTATGGATAACAATTTAAAGTTACAAGCGGGCAATATTAGAACTTATTTTCATAAAAAAATTTATGATGTTGAGCACGCGCGCGTAAGTCCATTCTACAGTAGTTTACGTGGTTCAGTATGTCGAGCTGCTTTGAGACACGGTGTTGAAGAGTTATTGAAAGTTGATTATGTTGGAACTAACAGTGAAATATGTTGTTGTAGTCTTAGAACAACATATGGGTTACCTTGTGCTTGTGAGTTAATGAGATACAGAATTGATGGTATACCAATACCAATAGATGTTGTGCATGTTCATTGGAGGAAAGGAAACTAACTATGGAAGTTGAGTTGGAGGTAGATGCAGATGATGGATCAGAGGTGGATATTATTAGTGCTATAGATGAATTATGGAAAAGTTTTAGGTCACTAGACGTTGTTGAGAAAAGAGCATTAAAAAGTAGAGTTTTTGAACTTGCCTACCCCACCATGACTTCTTTGTCTCCACCGCCTGAGAAAATAAAAACCAAAGGGGGAGTCAAGAAGAAAGGAAAAAAAACCAGTAGGGTATGATGTTTATAGGGACCCTTCGTATCATGAGTATGTTGATAAAGCATCTAAAGCTTCACATAGGAAATCTCAACCGTCACAGGCTTCAAAGAAGTTGAAATTATCACAATCTTCCAAGAGGCAATCTCCAACATCACAGAAGCAGTCTCATTCATCTAAGCAGTTTATCTCTCAATTTCCTAATCATATTAAGTCATATATTGAAGGTGTAGTTAATGTTGTATCAGACGGTAATTGTGAATTTAGAGTCATTGCTTCATTGCATGGATATGGTGAAGATGGTTGGCCAATAGTTCGTCAGGATTTGGGGTTGGAAATAATACATAAGGAAAAATCAAGTTTGTATGACAACTTATTTGGTAATCAGTTAGCAAAAGTGAGAGAATCTTTAATGATAGAGGCATTTGGTCCTCAACCACTACAAAAATGGTTGACTTTACCAGATATGGGTTACTTGATAGCAAATCTCTATTATGTTGTACTTGTCTATTTAGGCAATCCGTGCATGACTTTCTTCCACATGACAAGTTCATATTCACCAAATGTCTCCATTTATTGCATAGGTTTTGTAAACTGAAATCATTGGGTTCAGGTACTTAGTTATTTGTATTTAATATGACTAAATTTATTTAGTCTATTTTATTAAACATATCACTTAATGTTTTGTTTTATTTATTTATTCAGGTAAACATGAAAGAATGTTTTCCATTGCCACCAGCCACATTAGATTGGAAGAAGTTTCGTTCTCCAACTGCAACATCTTAGATGGTAGGATTTGCAGGACGTCTACAACATTGACAACAACTTACACCTATATTATCATAAATATGTAATTAAAATAGGAATAATGAATTATGTCATTCAATTTTAATTTTATATGTCTCAATAACACATAACTGGATTCAAAATTAAACATAAGTTTAGTAGTTAATGCAAATGAAAAAAATATAAACATATCCCAACTAGGACAATAAGTCTAAAAACCAACACATAAACATAAGTTAATAAGTATAATAGTTAACACATAAAAAAACATAAACACAAGTCAATGTGAACGAGAAATACGTGAAGCTTCAAATAAATCAGCAAACTGTGGATCATCCTCTTCGGCATCAACCTGTCGAAGAAAATGATGAATCAATGTAGAAACACGAGCCTAACTAGGATCAGATGGTCCTGCATCGTAAAGAGGAACCAATATCTCTCTTGGTGCATCATAAGGGGGAGGTACCAAACAAGGATGCGAAACACGATAATACCATTCAAGATATCCATTATCTGTCTCAGATGGGACGGTGGCCAGTGCTGTCGGACGAATCACGGTAAGGACGCTCTGATGGTAACCAATCCACTCAACATCAACATCATCAGCCATCATGTAATCAGAAGGCGGGGGGGAATATACTTCCTGTATCCAAATTGACGTATACATCTGTTAGGCAAATATAGAACAATTACGTCACCCTATTTCAAACACCCCTTGTACATACATATCTCATCAAACTGACGCCATACTATATGATCCTCGAATGACCGCCAGATGACGTCGGCAGATGTCAGCTCGTCCAAAATAGGTCACAACTCATCCACCTTCAAGACTCCTTGATTATAGGACCATCTCATCGCTCGAGGAAGACCACAATTTTGTGTTGGTATCTAATTCTATCCCCTTTTTCCAAGTGTGGGAAAATACTCGTGAATCCATCATTGTTACAAAATTAATAATCTTAATTAACTAAATAAATTTATTCATAACATGATAAAATAAAAAAATTAAATTAATATACTAAATAAAATTACTTAAAACATAATAAACTAAATTAAAATAAATACCTGTAGAAGAGTAGGATAATTACCAAGTTGCTTGCAACTGAACATAGAAGCATCTCCAAGATGATTGTAAAGCTAACCAACGCATCAGCTCCCCAACTGTATCTTGATAATCTGTCCAACTCCATAAATAGTAGGAGGTATCGTGCCTCAATAAGCGTAAAGGTCTTGTCGACAAAAATTATAGAACCCACCAACATCATCATATACGCTCTAGTCGCATATGCCCATATAGAAGCAGCTCTATGCTCTTTGAATAAATTGTATAACCACTCTAACTTATAGTAAGAACCCCTACAATGACGAACATGTTCTTGCGCCCTATATTGTGACACTCATAAGTAATCAACAACAAGTCCAATAGTAGTCACTTATGTGATATGTTGTGGTGGCCAGAACACTCCCTTGATGCGCAAGTGAAGCAGACAAGAGACGTCATCCAGAGTAATGCTCATCTCACCAAACGGCATGTGAAATGAAGATGTCTCTAGATGCCATCTCTCTACAAATGCGGAAACCAGGTTTGTGTCAATCTTCGTCAAACTGGTTCTCTGGAGTAAAGATAAACCAGACCTAGAAACCCAAATCTCCATCTCTCTTGGAAGTTGTTGTGGAACCCTCGCTACAAGCTTCAGCCCATGTCGAACAACCTTCAGCTCTTTCTTCGGGCCTCTCTCCTGAAAAAAAATTAAAAGTACGAATGTTATAAAACACAACATTAAAAATTCATATATTATTTAATATCAAATACATGTCGTTTACTTACCTCACCAAACCATACATGCCTGGCAATACACTGCTCGTACTTAACAAACAGAGATGTATCGTAGGCCCCTCCTGGATAGCCAACTGGAGGTGCTGCGGCTGCGAATGCAGATGCACCAATATGCTCTTCTTCATCAATAAATCTCGATGAAGTACCCCGTTCTAAAGCACCTTTTGATGTCCTAACGCCTCGTGTTCGCACCACTGAAAAAAAAACAAACAAAAAATAAGTAACGTAAAAAATAATAATAATACCGGAACACATATCAAATGAGTTATGGAACTCAAAAAGCACTATACCGGAACTTATTTCATGAGTCTTCCAGAATGCAAACATAACTGAACCGAAACACATTTGAGAAGTCTTCCGATAAACACTTTAACAAATCATAAGACTCTTAAAATGAGTTCCAGTCTACAAATTAAAATATTTCAATCAAGAACACTTACTTTAACTGTTCCTGAAACTAAAATGTGAATCAGATATCTTTGATGAAGTGTTCCGGTTTGGAGAGTATTTTTTGCGTATTTCGGAAATCTTTTGACAACGTAAATAAAAAGTGAAATGATTCTGAAAGATTCATCTATTTATATGAGAGTATTTTGGTCTAAATTTTTTGTGTGTGTAAGGGTATGAAAATGATTATAGAAGTATGGAGAAAAATTTCCAGGGATGTGGCACTACACTCAGTGGATGGGAAATTAACAATTCAATGGGCTTTGTGGCCCAACACACATGAGTCTTGTGGGAAGAGGTTCAAGCATAATCTCACTCCATTCTCACACGTTCAGATCGTTCCTCACGTGCTCTCTCCTCTTCAAAAGACACCTCACGGGAAAACACTACCTCCGTCGCGCTGGAAATCGCCTCCGGCGGAGGCGGAGGGCCAAACACAGAAATTCAAACACCAC